ACTGAAATTATTTGATGGTAAATATTTATACGAATTATATAGGTGTTTGTATTTTAATTAATGTAATAATGTTCTACTAATTTCTCTGTACAATTCATTGTATGTAATTGTTGTATCTTGCAAACGAACAGAGAGAGAGAGAGAGAGAGGTGTAACTTCTATCGTGAATTTCATTCCCATGATAAGGAAAGGTTTGTAAGTGGGTGACTGATTATGTATTTGTCGTATGCATTACCCAAATAATTCTAAGCATGTGTTTATACATAAAGTGACGTCCTTTTTCTACATATTCCTATGTTAAAATGACAATCGACATTCCTACGTGCAACGCACGTAATCCAGCTAGTTATTATTATTATTTGCTTTTGACGCATTTGGATGACCATCTGTTGTAATTGGAAGCGCTCATTGGGTGGGCATGCTAGGAAATATTTGCAAGAAAGATTGGCCAAAATGATTTGTTCTATTTGTGTACTTATATGCTTGGGTTTTAGTGATGTTTTCACTAATGGACCCTTCGACGAGCATCGGAATTGAACTAAATGTCTAGAGCCATTGATCTCCATACCTTTGGAATTCTAAAGTACTAAACAAAGGGAATGTTTTAGTCAGTGTTCAAAAAAGCGGATCGTCCAGCGCCTAGGTGGTCAAACTGGGCGGCAGTCCCTCGGCGGCCCCCTAGGCGGTACGGAACCTGCCTAGGCGACCGCTTAGGCTGGCGTCCAGCGTCCAGGCCTGCGCCCGGCCTAGGGGCAGAATATATTTTTTTTGTTCTATTGCTTTTTTTGAAACATAAAGGTTTTTAAGGATGGGTTTTAGGTTCATTTGAAACCTAAACCCACAAGAACCCATTTTAGAGAGAGAGAAACTTCAAAGAAACTAAATTTTGTGATTTTTATTGGATCAAAGTGTTTCTCAAAGTTACGAAAAACGCATCCAAACATCACCTAAGTATATTAGATTTAGTTTTGGAGTTTTATAATTCTATTATAGGGTGTTTTTGATTGTTTTAGCACTTGAAAACATCTCAGAGTTGGGAGTTTGGAGTTCAAGCAATCAAAGTAAATGCAAACCTTTATTTTTTAAATTGCTTGTTTTATTTTGAGATGTCTTCTTCAGATTCTAATCGAAGTGGAGATCCGGGTTGGAAATATGGTTATAACCCGAATCCAAATGACAAAAATTGGAGATTCGCGTTGGAAATATGGTTATAACCCGAATCCAAATGACAAAAATTGGAGATTCGCGTTGGAAATATGGTTATAACCGGTTTAAGAAACATCTTGTCGGTATTAAGGGGGATGTTGCCCCTTGTAAAAATGTTCTTGAAGCTATGAGTGAGGAGATTAAGCAATATATGAGTTTTGTAAAACAAAAACTGGAACAAAATGCTTGTCATTTGAATAGATCTATTTCTGCTTCTTCTAAAAGAAGTGATCCGGGTGGAAGTATGGTTATAACCTAAAACCAGACGATAAAAATTGTATAAGGTGTAATTTTTGTGAAAAAGATACCAATGAGGGTATTAACCAATTCAAGCATATTAAAGGGAATGTTCTTCTTTGTAAAAAGGTTCCTGAAGCTATTCGGGATGAGATTAAACAATTTCTAAATTTAAAAGAACCAGAAAATGATGGAAATGAGCCTTGTTCTATGGAAATATCTTCTACAGGTTCTTTTAGAAATGGTGATCCGGGTTGGAAGTATGATTATAACCCCGAATCACATCGAATTAAATGTAATTGTTGTGTAAAGGATACTAATGGGGGCATTTACCGGTTTAAAAAACACCTTGCCGGTATTAAGGGGGATGTTGCCTCATGTAAAAATGTTCTTGAGGCTACCAGGGAGGAGATTATACAATATTTGAGTTCATGGAAGTACAAAAAGATAGAAAAGGGTAGAGCAGCCAATACTTCTAGGGCCTCATCTGCACATACTAGTAAGAGGGAGGTAAAAGAAGAGGAGGAGAATGATGCAGATTCAAAAGAAACAGAGGAGGATGAGCGTTATATTGAAGAGGGAAATGACTCTGATGATGATGGTCTCGAATCTAATGCATGTGATGAGGCTTACCCCATAACTTCTGATGATGATGATGATGACTGAAGACTATTGGTGTTGAATGTTGACTATTGTGTCTTATACAGTATACTTTCAGAATTTCTGTATATTTTATTTTTATTTTTATTTTTAGTTTCTAGTTTCTAGTTTATAGTTTCGAGTTCTACTATTTAACTTTTGTGTGTACAATCTACAGTGTATTAGACTATCAGTGTATGCTTGTATGAGTTTATTGTTTTAGCATTGTGTGAAAATATGGATTATGGCCTTATTTATGGATTATCAAAATTCTCTTCTCGACTTCTGTCTTTTTTTTTCAACTGGGATTATGATCTTATGGATTATGGTATTATGGATTATCAAAATTCTTATGGATTATTAGAATCATACTGTCTTTTTTTTGTTTTTTTGTTTTTTTCAACTGGGTCTCTCAGGTTCTTGGCGCTCGCCTCGCCTAGTGCTTTTTGAAACTATGGTTTCAGTTGCATAGTGATTGAGTCAGGTATGGTTGGCAACATGATAGACATGTCTCTCATCATAAACTTTTGTTAAAGATATTTGTTGGTTTCTCCTTAGCTGATATGTATAACGATCGTATCTTGATTTCACCTCCACCATGAGCTGATGATCAATTTGAACATTCTTTGACTAGTCATGAGATATTGGAATTGAGGATAGATAAGTAGCCTCCTTATTATCATGATAAGCTGAGAGATGCCATGCGCCATATTCAAAAGTTGTGTAAATCTTTATTATAGTTAATTCTTCATTCATGTAGATTCTGTAGATATCAAAAGATGGATGGTTTTTAGGAGATGAGGCAACATTGAAATGCTGGAAGATTAGAAAAGAAGAAACCCAAAAAATAGACGGCATAAGAATCGAGACAGAGAGGAGTCCCAACAAAGAGGCTAGCATCCCCCACTTCTTTTGCCAACTAGATTTCTTTGTTCTTCGTCCATCGCCAAGAACATTGAGAGGTCCGCTACTTGTATGAGAGGCTTGGGAAACCTCTTCCAAACTCATTGATCGGACCCTCGGCAAGTCCATCTAATAATGTAGAGGGATTTTGTGTCTTCCACAACTATCAACTGCCTGTCAAGGCCTGTGGGTTAGCTTATATTCTTTTTTGACATTACATCAAGAAATAACTATTCTTGCTCCTGCTTGTGAGGCCATCCACCAAGAAACAATTTCTTTTTGATTGGAGACAAACCAAATGCTTGTTGATTGATCCTCTAAATATCGAACTGTCATGCTGCTTTTTGAAACATTTGCTTCACTACCATCAGTGGTTTTCTAGATCACTTATACACTGAATGATTCACAACATATTTAATGTGATATAAAAGTTACGTATTGAATTGTTCCTGCTGTCAACTACAAGAACCTTGTTGAGACCCTTTCAATTTCCCAATACATGGGATTGTAGTTTCCAAACTTTTGCTTCAAACTCTCTCTGGTACAGGGGATTGGACATGTACTAGCACAATTTACTGTATGTGTTAAATCCTGCAAAAGTTATGTATAGGAGTCTGTCTGCTTGCTATCAGCAGCAATATTCTTGCAGGAGACCAAGGGATTCTATTTGAGAACATGAACCCTATTTCACTGCTTGTTCACTAGGGAAGTGTAGTGCTTCTTGGTAGATCTCTTTACAGGTAGCTGGGGAATGCCTGATGCATTGTTTTCTCTGGAAGCTATGCCATCTAATGATCTTTTGGGATGTTTAGAAGGAGCTCAACATTGGAATATGTGAAGAAATATCTACAAAGATCAGTTATTTCTTGTGCTATTAGACTCAAAAAGATTTCAAGGGATGAGACTAGAACCCTTGATTAGAGAGTGGAAGATAGTGACATCTAGTCCAGCATGAGGTCTGGTGTTTTTGGGTTGCTTTCCAGAAAGAACATTGGGCTTAAATATAATGATAGTTATTGAGGGACTCGTAGGTCCTTTGGATTATGGATAGTGAAATAGAATCCTGAAGGTTACTTAATTGTTGTCCAGTTGGCTTTGACACGCAACAGCGTGGATAGAATAAACAACATCCTCATGGGTTTTATGTTATGCAATCATTTTTTCTTTTGGCCATTTGTAATAAACAACAACTTGATCATTTTCAATCTCTGGGCTCAAGAGAAGACTGTATGTCCTTGAAGAATTATTGATCATGTGGATGAGATTCTTGATCTCAACATTGTGGGAGGTTGCCTTTAATTTGTGTGCATTATGTTGGAGGACCCCTTCCCTTTGCCCTGGTCCCATTGTTATGACAAATTAATGTGGCTGTGTCGAAATATAAATCATCATTATCATCATCTAAGCCTTATCCCATTTATTTGGGGTCGGCTTGTGTCCACATATAAATGATGTAATTTTTTTGGTTCTTATTGATGAATGGAATTTTTTAATGAAAGAAATTAAAGTGCCTTAAAAATTAAATCCTTGAACAAGTTTGGTTTCGGAGTTGACCACCATGTCAATCCGACAATACTCAGTGCCCATCCTTTTGTTTAGAGACTCTAGACTCTTAGAGTAAATGCATTTTGGGGCGTTGGGAGTGCTATGTTTGATCAAGTAAATGGGTTCCTATTGTCAATGGCTACAAGAGCCATTTAAAATGAGCTTGGAAGGTGGGAGTATTTCCCAGCTTTACTTTATTTAGTATTTATGATATGTAACAGTTATTTGTCCCATGGTATTTCTTGATATATCAAACATTAATTATCCTTCATTGGTTTCAAGTGCTAATGGGATGGTGAGCACAAGATCCACATGTTCATGACATGATTTTGCAGCAATGTGACAGTTTAATGCTTCAAATGCAATGCTTATATTATTTCCTCTTTCACTATAAATATCTCTTTTTACATTTTCTTTAAATCAAACAAGTTATTTTATGGATATGACATTTGATGTAAAATTTGTTGCAGTCTATGAAGAGAGCTGCTGCTTTCATGAAAGAAGAAGACCTTGGAACTCAAGAAGGGTTAGAGGCATATGTGAGTGAAGTCGGTAAGAGTACAAGTGTCATGACTAAAACTGAGGCCCTTTATCAAGCCACAAAGCAAGTTGTTCGTAATATCCCACCTTATGACACTGAAGCTACAACACCCGATAAGGCTTATCTATTGGATAAGATTATTTCCCCAAATGAGTGGGCTGAACTCTCCGATGTAATGGAGCTCGTGGAGGTTGGAAGTTGTGGTGCTTCAGCTTTAAAGTTTAAGATGCAAAATGATTATTATCCGTGCTTCGTCCGCAACCGTGTAGGGAACATTAAGAAGGTTCATGTAAGTTATCTAAGCTTATGGATATCACTATGCTATTGTTAAATTCTTAATTATAAATCCTGAAACTACAACCTTAAACTTGGAACTTTTATGTGATGGAATTTTGCTATGTTTGTGCATGTGTGCATGCACGTGGGTGTAGATCTAATCTACTCATGGGTTCAGAAAATTAGGTTCTTACAAGCTTTTTATTTTTGTGCTGGGGTTTTGAGCTCTCTATTTTCCACTTTAGATTTAATGTATTCGCAAGAATCTGAAATTACAGCTTTGAAGCATTTTCCCATAATGGTGTTTTGTTCATCCCTCTCTAATCTCTAATCTACATGCACTGGCACAAATTCATGGTCTCTCATCTATATGCATGTGCAAATTCGTGAGCTTTCTCTTATCTCTATGCACATGTGCAAATTTGTGAGACTTAGCTTCTTGTCTAATTTGTGAGACTAGCTTCTTGTCTAATCTTGTGATTACTTGGATCACTTTCCCTAATGTTTTTTCCTTTGGATTCAAATGGGAAATTGTTTTCAGGATATAGAGGAAAAGAAGAAACTTGCTTGCATATTCTCATACATTACCCACCTTCTAGAGTTCCTTGCCCTGCAAACTGAAAATGAATTGTTAAGGTGCCTTTTGAAGGCCCAAAGCCAGGCAATTTATGATCTGGGAGAAGAGGGCAAGAAAATTTTTGGGGCGGGTTTCAGGATTCCTGGCATAGTTCTAGTGAATTTCTTGAATACTTTCTTTGCTGATCGGAAGGAAAAGTTCACTAAAGAGAAAAATGATATGGTTATCAGTTACATTTTGGTGCTTACGCTTTTTGCGGATGGGTTTACAACTGATCCATCTGACATTTGCAAGGACTTGAAGATGAAATTGCCTACCCTGAGAAAGAGTTATTTAGAGTTGGGGTGCAAACTTTCCACTGCAAAGACGGGATCGATTGTAACACTACCTGCTCCTCTAAAGTTTCCAACATTGACGACGCCTTACAGGAGGAGGAAGTAGATGCCCTCTTGTTACAAGTACTGGTTTCTGGAATCCTTTGTCATGAGTTTTTGGTTCTGAGGTTTGTGTAGTATTTTTTTTTGTTGGGGGCGGGAGAGAGATTTCTATTGTATTGTATTGTTTAATCTTGCTTGAAACTCGTTTGAATGTCCAGGAGAAACACTATGTATTACTGCAGTATTCTCATCGCTTTAGGCCAAACCTCTGTGAAACTCTCGAGGATTCAATGATCTGCTTTGGAGCAGGGATTATCAGCAGGGTTTTATATGCGAGTCCAGTGCTTGCTGCTCATTTTTGAAGTATCGGCATATGCTGGGGCATGCCTGAGTGCATCAGTCACTTTTGTTGGTCTAAAAAGTAAAAAGCCCTAGTGAGAGTTTTGGTCAGTCACTTTTGTTGGTCTAAAAAGTAAAAAGCCCTTGTGAGAGTTTTGGTAGTGATATGAATTTTGGCCAACTTTTAAAGATAAAGGTAAACTTGCACAAGATTATGCTTTTTGTGAGGTGGTTCTTTTTTGGAACTAAAAAGAGGTCAAAAGATTATGTGCTCCCTTTTTTTGGTAAAAAAAACCATCCAGGAGTATTTTTATGACCCCGTATTTCGGTGATGTAACCTCCTCAACGAGACGCCTTTAAAAAAATAAAATAAAATTCTATGTGCTTGAACCAAATACATTCATAAATTCAACAAAGATGGATGCGAGTGTTTTGAAATTCAAAATTCCTTTTTCTTTTTTTTTAGGAAGTGCCCGTGTTGATTCTAAAGTAGATCAATTTTATTTTGAGAAAATACAGTCAAAGTTTTTTTATTCGAGGGAGCAAGTTCGGTATATAGTCCCATTTAAATGATTGTAGTGACTTTATAGAAGTAATATTGTAGTAATGTATTTCATCCAATTTAGATTTGACACTGTTTTAAAAGATGTGTTTAGATAAATGGTTTAAAAAATGGATCGGTGTTTCGGATCGAGCACTCAAAAAACCCATTCAGATCGGTGAATCGGCAATTTGAATTGGGAATCGATTGGATGTAGTCTTAAATTTTTTTAAAAATTTATTATAAATGTTTTATAGGAATTCAATAAGAAATGCAAGTATTCCATTAAGAACTTTCAATTTTTTGCATCAATATGTGAATATTGAGATGTTTGTTCTCTGCATGAGCTATTGTTAACCATTAAATTTACATCACACAAAAGAAGAAACATGGAATTATCATGGATGCAGTATATCATTATACATGGATTATAATAAAGCATATAATTCGTAAAATACGATCTAATATCAAAATGAAAGATGATCGTTTTTCATCTTGGTCACATGGGTGGCATTGATTGAATTCGTATGACAATTCATTAAAAAAAAAGTTACAATGATATAATATCAATAAAAAACAGTTTACAATGATATAATATCAATAATAAAAAAAATTACAATGATATAGTCATTCACAATGCTACTACATGCAGACTCATTATAAATCTTCATTTTGATGAGCATGAATTAGTTCCTACTGGTAATTTTTTTTTATTTATGCAACATTATAGGTAAAAAGAGTATGTATAAGCTAAACTTAGAATAAAGAAAAAAAAATAAATTTACATTGATATAATATTAATAAATTTTTTTTTTTACGATGATATAGTCATTCACAATACCACGACATGTAGACTTGCCACAAATAGTATTTATAATGATAAAGTCATTTATAATCCCATTACATTTATCAAGATAATATAATTATAAAATATGTATCAAGAACATACATACATTTTATATATCAACATATATTTTATTGTATTAAAAATCTAACAATAAAAATGAAAAATACAAGTTAATTTATCATGATAATCAAAACTTGGTCACGATTTTTCAAAAAAAATTGAAAACCATGAACAATCATGATTTTTTAAAAAATGGATCACCAAAATTTGTTTAATCACACAAATAACACTAATAATCGTATGAATACCATTGTTATCCTCAACACCCATCTGAAATCATTCAAAATGATGTCCTAATTCGGCTGAAAATTTTAGTTTGGTGGATTTTTGAATTCTTTCTAAAAATTGAGCAATAAAAATTGGTTAATCCTACAAATTACACCCAAAATCATATGAAAAAAAATATTACGTTAAAAAACCATCTGAAATAATTCATAATGGTGCTTTAATTCGTCGAAAATTTATAGTTTGGAGAAAAAAAAAAACCCTAATTGTTCTTGAGAAAACCGTGACTCAAAATAAAAAATCCAGCACAAATCAACCAAAAAAGAGAAAATAGGCTACAATTTATGGTTAATAACATTATAAAGAATCAAAACCTTATGATATGAAGAAAATATTTGCTAAAATCGATTGGAATTAATTAAATGGTGTAAAAAAAGAAACACTTACTTGTTCTTTAGAAACTGACTTCAAATCCAAAATTGACTTGTAATTGATTAAAATAAAAGGCCGTTTGGGTACGTGAAAATCTATTACGTGACAATAGATTAAAAGGAAATATGATATTTACACGAATACACTTTAATAGTAAGGAAATGGAAAGAGATTACGCTACCCGAGAAATCATGAAATCCATTACTCGCGGTGAGAGGTGAAAAATCTATTACGAGGTTGACGGGTAATATTTGGAAATATTTTGCGTGCGTCTATCTGCCCTATCCCCGCTTAAAAAACATTTCCCTCTCTTTTTATAATTATTAAGGTGAGTAGAAAGTGAAAGTAAGAGATATGAAACGGGGCATTTAAATTGATTTGAACAGGTCTACGAGGATAATTTTCTACTGCAATCACAATAAAAGATTTCTACATCCTCTATCCACAATTTGGATTGTAGTCCTCATCTGACTCTTATATAAAAACAAATTTTATCCCTCTATCCCCAATTTGGATTGTAGCCCTCATCTAGCTCTTATATAAAAACAATTTTTTTAATAATTGGTAGGTGAAAGTAAGGGGAAATCTAAATTGATTTAAACAATTGTAGACCTTGATGAGGGACAATTTTCTACTGCAATCATAATAAAATTTTTTCTAATTCCCTCTATCCCCAATTTGGGTTGTAGCTTGCCATCAGTTCTTGTATAAAAACAAAAATAATAAAAATAATAATTGGTAACCTATGAGAAATTACACAACACAATCATAATAAAAAATTTCACACAACATAATCCTCATAAGAGATTAGTAAAAGGTGAATTGAAATAAGATACCTCTTTAGTCTCCTCCGATGCTTCAAAATTTTCTATTGCAAGTACCAAACCTTCAAGTTTACTAATAAAGATTTTGATTTTGGTATCATAAATTTATTGCTTATTTGAAATTATATATAGAGAGGCATTTGAAAGGCTTATCACAATAAAATCATGTTGTTTCAATCATATTATTCCAATGACTTATCATGTTGAAACCAAAGTCTAATCATGTTAGCTAAACATAGCCATATTTTTCATATTTGGATGGTAATGTATTTCTCATATTTCTTCAAGACATAGTCAAACAGTAGCAATGTATTTCCCAAGTTGCATCTAAATTCTACCCAAATAGTGACAATCCATTTGCAGATAATGTATTACGCCCGAAATATATTTCACAAACAATATATTTCCAAGTATCCAAACGGCCCCTGAGCAAAAATGGTGTACAATTTCTCTCAGTGGTTCATTTACTCAATAAGTTAAGGGTGCAATTTGCATACGGATGCATCTGTAGGTGTAGAGCTTGGGCTTTTGCAACGAACAATGCAGCAGAGAATGAAGCAGCACGTGAGGAAGCTCTGATCTCCAGCTAAGCCCTAGACCTAAGTTAAGAGTTACGAGGGTTCAAGGGAGGTTGAGAGAGAGGGGGGTGGAAGAGGTGAAGTAGGGGAAAAAAGTGGAGAAGATTTTTTTAGATTTCAATAGATGTCTGATACCATATAATACTTATAGATGACATGCCTTTGCAATCTTCTCAATTAAACTTTGGTTATCAAAAAGCCATTAGAGGAGACCATAAATCGTTGGCTCACTATGGGGGATTAGAGAGAGAAAATAGGGAAACTATAAAGCTCTTTTGGAATTAGTGAGAGATAATGGCTCTGATAATCCTTAGAGAGAGAAACTTGCAAGGAGTGGTACCTCAGTGATTGGATCATTGGACATGGGCCATCTCATTGAAATCGTTTAGGGTTTCAATTTATCAAATTATCTATAGGTAAATGACAGGAGAAAACTTAATTGTCTTTGTCTCGGGCTCCTTTTATCCCCATATTAAAGACTTTTTTGGCATATCTGAATGGGCCCAACGAGGGTGGGAGTTATCTTATCGGCCAAATGTTAAGATCACTGGTCCCAACAAAGTAGTTTTCAAGCTTCGGTCCCAAGAGAAAATTGGTAGGGCACTATCTAATAGGTTCTGCAGAGTCAGAGGCAGTCTGCTTTAGTTGGGCCTATGGAAGGCCTCAGATCATGTTTCTTTTTATGCGAAGAGGTCTATTTGGATTAAGCTTTGGGGTCTTCCATTATCAGCATGGAATCTAGCTATTATTAAAAAAATAACAGGTTGTTTTGGCATTTATCGGGATTTGGGTTGGAACTCATTTCTTAGTCCATGCTGTTGTTTTGTACGTGTGAAAATGGAGTTTGGTTTGAAGATGCATATACCGAGAACTATAATGATCTATATCAATGATGACTTTTTTAAATGTCAATTACTGATGATGATAATTCTCCTTTCTATGTGTGTGTCAAGGAGAACTTGCGAGCTGGAGGTGGGAATTATGGTAGTCCCAGTCAGCCGGAAAAGATGATTGGAAATTCTTCCGGTATCCCTCGACGCAGAGAAGGGTTGCGGAAAATCCGAAAACAAGGGAATTTCAAATTTCAAATTTTTGAAAAACCCAAGATTAGTAAGCGTTGGATTCCAGTTAGTAGGTTTCCGGATTTGTCGAAGGTTTCTCAGTGCAGTTCTGTAATCAGCCAGAAATGAGTTTTAAAGATATGGATAACATATACGAGTATTGTGGGGAGGCAGTTTTGGGTAACCGCCACATTAAAGAAGGTTCACCACGTTCTTTTGTTGGTCTGGCAGGTGCAGCAAATATCCATATTGGAAATGTTTCCGAAAAGATAGATTGGGAGACATGAGGAGGTACCGAAGAGGACGGGGCAGATATCTAGGATATCCTATGCTTTAACGTGGCATGTACACCTTCTTGAGATTTCAATCTTGCAACGGCAAAAAGCCCATTCTCTCTGGTACATCTTTGGAAGGAGGAAAAGCTCAAACACCACCTGTTTATAACCCTTACGGTCT